AGTTCGCCAAGCTCGTCAGAATACTAGGCGGCTATGATGTCACGTACAGGGATGGACCTTCCCATTTCCCACGACATGAGGGGGGAAGTACAATACTCCATACCCTTCAAATATCCACCCGCAACACTCAGTGGCGGTGCTCTCCTTCATACTTGACTCGCCTGCACGAGTCAAGCGCTGAACTCGTCTGCACGACTAGGCGATCAACAAGGTGCCTGCAAACTTGTCGAGCTCTCCAGAATACTCAGCAATGGTGCTATCACGTATAGGGATGGGTCTTCTCATTTCCCACGACGTGAAAAGGGGGAGTACAATATTCCGAGCCCATCAAGCAGTCGCTCATAGTACATGTGATAGGTATTACATCTCTCAACAGTGCATGGTCACATCCCATGGTTCAAGGGAGTGACCATGCTGTCTCTTCCCTATTTAAGAGCCTCTCCTGGCTACATAAAAGAGGGTCGCTTTGGTTCGCTTTTAGCTTTGGTTCGCTTTCAGGTAGTTGGATTTTTGAGAGGTTGGCTTTTACCCGGTTGCTTGGACCTCTCAGTCGAGCTAACAACCTGCTCTTTGCATAGCTCTTGCACTGTATCACATTCTTCCAGCTTTTGGCCTTGATAGCCATTAAGTTCATGAGCTTGAACTCGATCAACATGAGCTTCTACTATGTACTGAAGCTTGCCTGTAACTTCGCTCGGATCGTCCAAGGGAAGCAAACTTGGTTTCGACACTGAGGGAGGCATCCTATCGCTACCAAAGACCCCACGATAAACAAGGAGGGCATTCCTTCCGTTTCTGTTGTAACTTTAATTCATTAGTTTATAATAAGCTATTATTATCAATACAAACAAAATCCCTATTTCGGAAAATTAAATTTTACACCTACATTTGGCAGTGCACGGTTCAATATATTCTTATGCAGCAGGGTGTTGATCAAGCTTTAGAGGATAAGAAACCTGAAGGATTAAAGGATGCTGAATGGATATTTATGCAAAAGAGGGCGGTTAGCATAATTCGTTTGGCACTCGCCCCCAAGATTAAGTACATTGTTATGTAAGAGATTACACCAAGAGGGCTACGGGAAAGGCTTGAGGGGATTTATGCATCGAAGTCGATGACTAACTGATTGTATTTGAGGATTGATCTTTATTCATTGAAGATGGAAGAAAGTACTCCAATTCAAGACCATATCAATGCCTTTAATCAACTAGTTTGCCAACTTATGAATATTGATGATGAGATTAAAGAAGAAGAGCATGCGCTACTCCTATTGTCTTCCTTACCAAAGTCGTACAAGATGTTAGTTCAGACGATAATTGCAGGAAAACAGACTTTGAAGTTTGACGATGTGACAGTACTCCTATGTGAGAATGAAAGAATGATGAGAAAGAAGAGCGCATCTAATGGTGGTGAGAGTGCACTAGCTTTAGAAGGTTCTAATTGAGGGAGGAGTACGAGGAGATGTGATAGTTATCGAGGAAGGTTAAAATCTCGGGCCCAAGACGACATCGAAAAGGAGTGTTATTATTACGGAGAGAAGGGTCACATTCAATTCAAATATTTCCAGATACGTGATGATTTTTGAAGAGTATTAGACAGATAAAGCTTTAAGAAAATAGGAAGAAGGCAGACTCCTCGGTGGTTGTGTGATGAAGAGGTGGTATTATTGATGTAGAGTACAGGTGCTGATGCGAGTAACATTTGGGTATTAGAGTCTGTAGCCTCTATGTACGTTTGCAACAACAAAAATTATTTTAACATATTAAAGACAGATGAAGAATTTGACGACGTAATTGTTAGAAACAACGATAAGATGAAGGTTAAAGGTGTTGGAAGTGTTCGCCTCAAGCTTCACACTGGGAATTAAGGTCAGAATTTTTCATCATATGAGATATGTGCTGTCATGTGGTGCTAATTTAATTTCGTTGGGTGAGATGGCATCACGTGGGTACAAGTATGTGGGTGAAGGAGAATGGTACAAAGTGTATAGAGATGGTGATTTGATTTTGCAAGGGAGGAAGAATAGCAACCATATTTGCTATTTAGATGGGCGATCCGTTAATAGTATAGATTACTCTTCTCTGACTCTTCTCCACAAGGGAGAGGTGAAGAACAAGAAGAAGAGAGTGGGTTTTTCTGAAGCCGTTGAGACACTTGGAGATTTTTCGTTAAGAGAGGATATGTTGGGTATCAACTCAAACTCTAAGTTAGTATAGTGTTTTTAATTCTTTGTAGAACTTTATGAGAATTAGATAGGGTTAGAGATCTATCATGATTAGGCGTTTGGGTTCCATCATGATTAGGAGTTTGAATCTTAATGTAATTAGGAAGTTAGACTAGAGCTAGGGTTTTGGTTTCCCTATATATGTCCTTCTATTGTTAGAGAAAAAGAAGAAGAAGAAGTGTAGAGAGAGAGAGAGAGAGAGAGAGAGAGAGAGAGAGAGAGAGAGAGAGAGAGAGAGAGAGAGAGTTTGATAGTCTTTGTCTATGTAAAAAATTATAATTTGGAGGTGATAGTGGATTGATTTTGATCCCGTCGTTTTTCCCTTTTGAGGGCTTTCCACGTTAAATCTTGTGTGATTTTGTGTTTTTATTTGCTACGTTTGGTGGTTTTTTGGGGTTTTTACGAGATCTAAAACTCCCTACAGAGGGAGGGAGGGAGGGAAGGGGAGAGGTGGCGGGCACTTCTTTCTCTTGCTAGGTAAAATAACCTATTTATAGATATTTAAAAAGTTTGTTTAAGGAGGAGAAATATTACATGTTTCTGCCACTATGACAAAACTCTAAAGTTATGATGAGAGTTTGGGTTTATAATCTTATCTTAGCATGCTTTTGTAGGTTAAGCACCGTTTAAAGGAGCGAAATCTAAACTCCCACTATAGTGTGTTCTCTAAATTCACTTTAGAAATTCATGGCTAGTAAATTATGTACATGAATCTTCTAATATCATATTAAAGATATATGTCAATATTATATCACAACTTTAAAGTTAAAGGGAAAATTGTGGGTTATAGTTTTATGCCCCAGTTGAAAAAAGAAAGAAAAAAAAAAGTAATTGGCTTCTTATAAATGCTTCCAAAAAACGGCTAAGACATATTTATTCTTCTGTTAAGTGTTAGCTTGAATATCTAGATCCCACATGGGATGCTTCTAAAGTTAAAGCCCATATCTTGACAGAGATTCCTCCGTCTAGGCCTAGAGAAAAGTGAGGATTCCAAAACACAAACATCTATGAACCTAAAGCCACTGGCAAGCACTTAATCTAAACGGAACATTTATGTCAATAAAATCCCTTAACAATATTTACTCTTCATTAGCTGCTCTCCTTGAATTTCACACTAGCCATTTTAAAAACAGTTCAAGGACACAAGAAAAGTCAAGGAGATATACAAGTCTACCAGGACTTTTTTTTTTATACTTCAACAATTGTAGCTAACCTATGTTGTGCTAGAAAACAAGAGAAGAAACAAACAAAAAGATGGAGAGAAGAGAAGAGGTAATAATTGTTGTGGTGCGCACATATGAAGATGTGCAGGAAAATGTGAAGGAAGGGTTGGCATCCAACTGCTATTTCAGAAGAGAGCCATTAGACTTTTGTTGCCGGATGCTTAGCTAGAAAAGCTTTGTGCTTCAACTTGGCTCGGAGACCAAAACCTTATTTGTGTGCGTTTCTTTGTGTTGTTCTTGTGGGGGGGATGCGCACACCCACAAGTAGGTTAATTTGGGGCAGTTTTGATTTGGGTTAATTGCATTCTGACCCTCTCTGGTGTCGCACTTTGTGACTTATTGCCTTTACAGTTTGATCTTCGTATGTCATCTCGATGAATTTTACCTGAATGACAAGTTCCAACATGCGATATTATAGGGGTCAATGTGGATGAACCCTTTTGATTTATCCACATCCAACCCAATTTCAATTGACGTGTTTCACTCAGCTAGTAGAATTTGTTGATTCTGATTCTCTCTTGGACGAAGAACTTGTTCTCTCAATCATTACTATCTATCACACAATGAACGATTATGATATGGCTTGACTAAAGGCTGAAACGAGTACAATTCATGATGATCATCCTTGTACTCAAGGGATAATTTGTGACCTGAACTTTACCTGAATGTGATATGTTAAGCACCTCCAGCAACTGGATCCAAAGTCTATGCTTATGGGGTCAGCTTCACACTCTTATTTTTGGAGATTGAGACTTAATGGATTAGTTAAATATTTTAGAGAAGTATTTCAGAATTATTTGCTATTAGCTTATTACAAATAAACACATAACATTTATAAAATTAATTAAATAACACAATGTGAAAGAAAATACATGACCAAGAAAAACACCAAGTAGTGGTCTTCAGTGGGCCGGGACCTAGCTAGGGCTTTAGTCCACCCACAGGCTACTCCCAGCTATTAAATGGGCCTACTGTTTGTACTCTTCCATTAGGCCCATTCGATATGCCACCACATTATATGATTCCATAAAGGTGAGAGAAAAGGGAACAAGGGAGATTCAATGAATTATTGTCCTGAATACATAGAAATAATTACAAATATAATATCTCTATTTGTCTTGCACCTCGTAACACTTAATTTTCTTCTTGTATCCATTTGTTGAACTTGGATTCTGACCATTTCTGATGGACCACATTATTCTACTAGAAAATCATTGCCGTACCAGATACTCATCAAATATCGCATACCAAGTTCTCATCATTAACCTTGTGTTATTATCCATATGAAGAACTATGTAGTTGGTTCAAAATTAATTTACAGATTTTCATAATGTAAAGGAATAATATCTATTTATCATATCCATATATTTCCACGCAACCTCGCACCTCATGCTCATTTTCTGTGTAGTGGGCTAAATAAAAGACTCAAAGCCCATGGCCCACTAGGAGCGCATGAGTTGCCAGTGGACTCTTGAGGCCCATCCTAAATTTAGCTATTAAAGATGATGGCCGTTAAGGTTTTAGGATCTTCTAAAACCCTCGTTGATCTACAATCGAAAACGCCCTCCCACTTTCTTCAATTTGCAAAACGAGCCCTCTCCCAGTGGGCGATCCCCCCAGCCGCCAAAGCTCCCAATTTCTGGGAGAAGAAACATCCTCATCTCCAGCGCATTACCCTACGCCAACGACGTCCCTCGTTTAGGCAATATCATCGGATGTGCGTTCTTTTGCAGTTTACTCCCTCTTCTCACCTAACTTTGCATTTGGTTATTTGGGCTTTTCCTTCTGTCTTTTGTTTAGGTGTTTTGAGTTAGGGTGTTCTTGCGAGGCACTGCCGGCTGAGGGGCTACAGTGCAATTTATATTTGTGGGACCGATGAGTATGGGATGGAGACCAAACCCATGGAGGAGAACTGCTCCCCTAAGGAGATTTGTGGTAAGTTCGTAGCAATTTTTTACACAAATTTGTTTTTTTAAAGATGTATTTATGGTCAAATTGAATTATAAATGTGGAATTTAGGTTTAGTTTGATGTTAATAAAAGAATAAATAATCAAATTAGTTTACAGGGTACAGTTAAAAAAAAAAGCATTTTGAATTATGGAGGTCTGATATACACTGTTGGGGTTGAACACACAACTTGTGTCCTTTCGGATCTTGTGTCAAAAGTAAGCAAGCAGGAAATCACAACAAATAAAAAAAAACTTGCAGGAAATAATAATCAAACTGAGAACGCCAAATTTAACGAGGTTCGGCAAACGTGCTTACGTCCTCAGGAGCCACACCAAAAACTTTGATTAATTGAAGAAGATTATAATACTCACAATAGGCTTCTCTCTCTAAGATCTTTGATCTCAAAGTGCCGTCAAAACCTCTCTTTTTTCGTGTTCTATATGTTGGGAATAATCGGGGCTACGCTAAACCCCTAAAACAACAAGAAACGCAGTATAGAGAAAAGTACACCAAGATTTATGAGGTTCGGAAAACTTGTCTACGTCCTCGGGAGCCACACAATTAATTTCTTATTAATCAAAGAAATTACAATGCAAGAGAAAATCTCAAACTTGAGATCTCTCAATAAATGCAAAGGTTGTCACTGTAACTACAGTAACAACTCTTCTTTAATTTCCCTTCTTAAATTCCCTTCCCCCCAACAATCGTGAGTACGGGAGAAAAAGAGAGAAGAACAGATGAGAAAAACGCCGCCGTCAGGAGCTGGGAGAAAATCACGAGACGAAGCTGATTTCTTCTCGTGAACAGGGTTCCCTTTTATAAGGGAAGACGACAGTCTGTAACAGGCTGTCATTTGTCTTCTTCTGCGAGCTTGTCTGTGAGCGCTCGAGCTCACCTGCGCCTCAACCTCGCCTGAATCATGCCCGCGCTCGACCTCGCCTGAAGCACGAGCGCTCGAGCTCACCTGGATCTCGCCTAACCTTGAGCTCTCCTGTAGCGCTCAACCTCGAGCTCGCCTGAACTGCGTCGTCGACCTTGCCTGAAGCTCGTCGCTTGTAGTTCTACCTCGCCTGAAGCTTCTCGAGCTCGCCTGACCTAGTCTTCGAGCTCGCCTGAGAGCTCACCTGAAGCTCCTCACATGCGGAGGTTTGGGCTACACCCAACACTAACAATCTCCCACTTTAAGACCAAACCGTCGTCAGCAGGTTATTTCAACAAGCATATTTTTTTGTGTAGCTCCGCCCTCATCACTTATGCATGAAGGCCAACTGAAATTGCTCACAACTTCAGTTTTTGAATGGTCACCGTTTTTGTTAACATATCTACTGGATTTTTACTTTCCTGAATCTTCTCCAGCTTCAACACATCGTCTTCCAACAGGGATCTGATGAAGTGGTACCGAAGCCCAATATGTTTTGTTTTAGAATGAAATACTGAATTCTTAGCCAAATGAATCACACTTTGACTATCACTATGCAAAACATTCTACTCCTATTTGAATCCCAGCTCTGTTAACAAACCCTGAAGTCATATCATCTTTTTATTAGCTCAAGTCGTTGCTACATACTCAGTTTTTGTAGTGGATAGAGTGATAATTTTATGTATCTGTGACATCCAACTAACAACTGTAGTTCTGACAGTGAATACATAGCCGATGGTGTTTCTTCGATGATCGATTTTACCTCCAAAGTCTACATCTACGTACCTTGCACTTCCACCTCTTCCTTACCAAAGTGCAAACACTTCTGTGTGGTGCCTCGTAGATACCTCAGAATTCACTTTACCGCTTTTCAATGAGCTTTTCCTAGATTCAACATGAACCGACTGACCACTCCCATTACATAGCCATCGCCTGGTCTTGTATAGACCATTGCGTACATCAAGCTTTCAATGGCCGAGACAAGGTTTTAAATATCGGTTATCGGGGATTTATCGGACGGTCAAAATCCTTATCGGATAGTGGAAATCGGGGATATATCGGGGATAAGTAGTATTTATCGGAGTGATATACTGAATGATGTGTATATATAATATAACAATTAAAAAATATAATCCAATCATGCTTAATGAAATATAAACATACCACAATGTAAATCATCATGTTTAGAATCATTAATCAATTGTAGAAAGCGAAACTTGCATCATAGCCTTGAAAAAATATAATGTTAGTCAAAATGGGCCGATAATCCCGATAAAAAAGTCTTACTTATCGACCGATAAGTGCCGATAACGCCGATAAATCGCCGATAAACCTAGAAAAACGATAACCGATTAAAAATCCAATTTATCCTAGCGGAGAGCTCCCAAATCCGATAACTCGACCGATAATATCGATTATTGGCCGATATTTAAAACAGTGGGCCGAGGCATAAGGAATCTTAGTCATACTCTCTTTCTCTTCATCTGACTGAGAAGATTGGTCCTTTGATAGGTGAAAATGGTTGGCCAAGGGTGTCCTGACTGGCTTGGCATCGTCCATGTTGAATCTCTGCGAAACATGGTTGATGTATTCTGTCTGAGACAACTGCAAGAACCCTTTCTTCTTCTCTCTTATGATTTGTATTCCAATGATCTTCTTTGCTAGACCCAAGTCTTTCATGTCAAACTCCTTTGACAACTGCTGCTTCAAACTGCTGATATCCTTCATATCTACACCTACAACCAGCATATCATCAACATACAACAATAAGATGATTTAACTGGGCTGATATCTTTTGAAGTAGCAAGAGTGGTCGGCGTTGCACTTCTGGAAACCTTCATTGTCTATGAAGCTGTCAAACTTTCTGTACCACTGTCTTAGAGCATGTTTCAAGCCATACAGGCTGTTCTTAAGTCTGCACACCAGGTTCTTCTTCTTTTCTTCTAAAAAACCTTCTGGCTGGTGTATGTATATCTCCTCTTTTAGATCTCCGTGAAGAAACATCGTCTTCACGTCTAACTGCTCAAGATGAAGATCTTCAGTAGCTACAATGCTCATCACTGTCCTGATAGTAGCTTTACAACGGGAGCAAAAATGTCGGTGTAGTCAATTCTTTTCTTCTGTTGGAATTCTTTGACAACCAATCGGACTAACCGGACTTTATAGCCATCCTGCTCTTTTTTCACCTGGTACGCCCATTTGTTGCGGAGTACCTTCCTCTCCATGGGCAACTCAGCTAGTTCTCACATCTGGTTTGAGATGAGAGACTTTATCTTTTTTTTATGGCAAGCTCCCACTTGCTCGCATCTTCACTCTGACAAACTTCATCATAGCTTTTAAGCTCCCCTCCATCTGTCAGCAACAGATAGTTCATATATCTTCTGTTAGGCACAAGAGACTGAGAATATCTTCTCAATATCGAAGCTGGTGCGTCGGGCTCCTGCGCACTGTTCTGTCCAACAGGCTCTTCTGGCTGAGGACATGCTGTATTTGGTTCTTTCGAGAGGTCACCTGGGGCATCATCTGTATCTACAAATATTGACTTGTTCTCCTCTGACTCAAATGCATCTGTCTTGTGCATGTCCTTATACATCACATTCTCGTTGAATAGCACATCTCTGCTGCGAACCACTTTCTTATTTTCGTTGTCCCAAATGCGGTAGTCGAACTCGTTTTCACAATAACCGATGAAAATGTATTTCTTGGACTTGGGATCACGCTTATTCCTGTCTTGATCACTAATATGCACATAAGCTACATAACCGAAAATTTTAAGATGTGAGAGTTTTACCTCTTTTTCGTACCATATCTCCTCTGGTATTCTGTGCTCCAATGAAACCGGTGGACCTCGGTTGATCAAGTAAGCTGCTGTATTGACTGTTTTTGCCCAGAACTGCTTCAGTAGACCTGATTGTATACGGATGCTTCTGGCTTTTTTTATCAACGTTCTGTTCATCCGCTTAGCTACACCATTGTGCTGAGGCGTGCCGAGCACGGTTCTCTCCATTCTGATCCCGTGTTCATAGCAAAACTTTTGGAATCTGGTGTCTTCATATTCACCATCATTGTCAGTTCTGAGCTTCTTTATTCTCAGACTTGTCTCATTCTCGATCATAGCTTTTCATATCTTAAAAGCTTCAAACACTTCTGATTTATGCTTCAGAAAGTAGACCCATACTTTCTGAGAGTGATCATCAATAAAAGTCACAAAATAGTATTTCCCACCAATGGATGAGGTGGTAGTTGGTCCCCACACATCTGAATGAACGAGCTCCGGCTTCTCTTTCTTTGGGGTTCTGCCACTTGTCTGAAAACTAACTCTCTTCTGCTTTTTAAGTATGCAGTCTTCACACATGTCTAATTCAACTGATTCTAGACCTAGGAGTTTTTCCTTTGTGTGCATGATCTTCATCCTCTTCTCACTCATATGATCGAGTCTCTAGTGCCATAAATTTGAAGTCTCCTTTTTTACTATAACTGAGATCAAACGGCGTGCACCTGCTGTCATATATAGAGTATCAGTCTTTTTTCCTCGGGAAATCGTCATTGCGCCCTTTGAGATCTTCCAATCATCTTCATGGAAGGTCGTAGTCGCCAGCCAACTGACCTACGGATATTAAGTTCTTTCTCAGGTCAGAAATATGCCTGACATCCTTCAGCTCCCATACTGACCCGTTCAACTTAATTTTCATTACACATTTGCCCACAATAACATACGGTTGATCATCACCAAGGTATACATATCTAAGATTTTCGGTGACATACTTCTCGAAGAATTCTTTCTGAGAAGTAGCATGAAACGACGCTTCAGAGTCTAACACCCAAAACTCTTCATTGCTCTCCAAAGAGCATATCAATGCGTCGTCTCCTTCTGAGGTGAAAGTGACATTCACCTTTGCCTTCGCCTCTTTCTCCTTCTATGCACTCTTGCACTGATTCTTATAGTGCCCGATCTTTCTACAATTTTAATACTCGATAGTCTTCGAGTTGTTGCTTGGATTTCTTAACTTGGACCTCCTGTCCTTTGATCTACTTCTGTAGTTTGATTTGCCTCGTTCGTTCTTT